TGATCGAGAACCGAAATTTTTGACAAAATTTTGGAAAAGAACACCAGTAAAAGCCGCGTTTGGATTTTTGCTCAAAAAATATCAGTGTTGATCTTAACTCTTCATATAAAACGTGTTTATTGAGCAAAATAAAAATGCAAAATACAGGTGATACTGGATTGCGTAAGGTTACATAATATTTAAGCTCTTTTGAATTGCCAGATGCTAATACAACATCGTCTTGGTGTTCGTACATACGTTTCTTCTAGATCTGTCATATAAGATGGAAATAAGATAGGGCTTACATTGTAGCTCTGGTTATCTTTTTTGGTTTATGATATAATTCGCTCTAGCGACTTGTGCAAAACGGACGGGTCATAAAAATGACACATTATGGGAAATGGAGGTTGTCGGTCTGTCACTCGCGTCGCATAGATATCTAATAACAAATTTTCATTGAGGCGATTATTAGGTCGACGTTGCTGCCCGACCATATTTAGCTTTGGCCAAGATCCTAAAACCAGCAATTTATGAGTGTTAAAGCAATAATGCGGACTGCATATCTTGATGTATTTTTCGCAAGGCGCTCCAAAAGAAAGTTGATCCACTTATTGTCTGTCATCAAAATCCGTGTTAATCGTAATTGTATGTGTTTGTTGCCATTTCAGCCCGCCTACCCACTTAATTGTGTATCTAAATCAAGGTAAGGATCGGTTTACACTATCGGGATCAATTATGCGATTGAGTGCTGCCCCCAATTGTAAATCGGAGGTGGACTGACGGTTTGAAGCGTCGTGGGGACACGTACAAGTCCGTCGGAGATTCGGCGTTTCTCAGGTGAAATAATTAATTTGAACAAATACGCGCAATAAAACACGTCCTAATTGACAAGTTAATAACAATATCTGGCCGAGGCCTCGGGTGGTGAATTTTCTTGTGAACCGGCACCGTTTTACCTACACGTCGTCCATAATAGCCTTTCCAGCAAATAAATGATCGCAGTAAAAAAAATTTAATGGCCACAAATTGTCGATAGTTATCGGTCCGCGTTGGCCCGGGGATTCGTAATCGTGTTGTAGATGTTGAGAGCCTATCGCGGATTAATTCCAGATTATTTGCGTGTGTACGGTGTAATTTCGGATTTAATATTCAGATCCCAATATTGTACCAACGGAAAAGTTGCTCGCGCTCTACGAGCAACAGCTTGAATATTTAACCACTAGATCGTTGATTGCGTTGCCCCGAGATATCAATTATATAGATCGTTATTCCCGACTAAAAACGGAATATTTAATGCTCTTGTTTCCTCCGAACAAAGGAATGCTGGTCTGGGGCCGATTAGGACGCGATCGGCCGGGCGCGAATTGAGCTCGAGAGGAAAAAAGTCGAGTCGCCCCTTCGAAAACCAACAAGTACCAATTATTCGGAGCGTTCCGCTGAAAATCTCGAAATTATGTGTAATTTTGATTAAAAGCGGTGGAGCTGAGCGGATGGGCCAGTGCGGCTCTGGAGATAACCATCGGACCCGACCGCCAGATAAGTCTTCTGGGCGAATGCAACACTTGTAATTACTGATTCCCACACCACGGTGCTCTAATCACGGCAATAATTACGACTTTTTGTTCGGTTTGGTGGCCATTTTTCTCCTGATTTCTCACGATTGATCCGTTTGCTTTACACGAACGAGACGGGATTTTTCCGAGAAAATTTTCGACCAATTAAAATTGCAACATGACCGCGCACATTCCTCGAGCCGTATTTTTTACACGTTTCGATCAAACGGATTGTCTGAGGGTGATTTTAGAGCGAAAACTAGTGCCTACTTGTTGTTTGGATTATTAAATCAACGTCGAATCAACAAACATTACCAATGAATTGAATCAAACTCAATTGGCATATAATGTTCCTGAACTGCGTGTGCTGTAGTAGAATTCATCGAGTTCGTTTTTTTTGTGGTTAACACCATGTTACACTCTATAATAATACACAATACGTGCGTGTATCGGGTGACAGCGAAAACTAACTGATTACGTATGCTTCCCGCTTTTATTCAACTATGAAATCCGTCCCTTTCTCGTAAAAATAGTACAACGAAACTCGTATTTTTAGAATAAAAATTTCAACTTTGTCAATTATTATTTCATGACTTCGCTCAAAAATAGGTGATCCCAAAGGGGACGCGAGTTTTCAAACAGTAGGTGTCTGTTTCTTTTTAACCCTCTTTAATCATCGTTAAATTATACTCCCAGTTAATTTTATATTAATTACGAATTCTCTTTTGCTGCTGGAAAACCTTTTAATTTTAATTTCCCTTCGCATAGTTCATCGATCCAAATACCCTCCTCTTTCGATACTATTTTATTATGCTTTTGCCATGTTGTTATGTTGGTTTTCAGCAATCGTATCTTTGGCGAGTTTGTTTAAGAATATTTAATTCGCGATAACGTGCGAGCTCCTCATTATTTAATTTCTCACGATTGGCAAGAAAAAAGCGGACGTCTGGGGAGATAAGGCGTGGGTTTTTTAAAGGAAATCGGATTTTTTATTCATCAATAGAGACGTTTAATAGCGTGATACGGAGAATATAAAAGTACGCCGACATCGGGATGCAATAAAATTTTTCAATTACCACCGTCGGCGAGGCATAGGTATTACGAAAGAATATCAACCAGAGGCAAATACGCCTCCAAACGTATTTCTGCCTCAACAATTAAAACAATCAAGTAAGAATTACAACATTCGAGGATATTTGCAGAAACTAGGCAAGAAATTAGAAATTATGATGTTGTTCGTGGTTCCAAGTTCAACCGTAATTTACGAGAGGAAAGAAGGTTAATATCGACCACTTAAAAGAAAATTTAGAATGAAGTCAATGATATTGAAAAGAAAAAACTTTTTATTTAAAAACAATAACTGTTAATGTGTCAATTCAACGAAACATAAAATTCTAAAACTATAAATCTTCATAACACTTTGCAGAAAATGGATAAAACCGGTCTTTTTTCAATTGGCATTGCCTCTCCTTTACGTATAATGTCGATTTATTATTAATCAAGTTTTGATCTTTAGAAATTTAATTTGTTCATTAAATGCGCTGCACAGTTATTTTAATAATTTTATAAATGAAAACAGAATACTGAAATAAAAATCTGACTTGTGTCTGTAATATTGGGAACATTAGTACTATGACATTTTAAATTTAACCTTAAAATTTTAAGTTAAAAACTTTTAATATTCCTGCAGTAATTATTATTGTCAAGTGTCAATGAATGACAGATATTGCTAGACCGTGAAATATTTTGATCGTCGTCTTCGTTGATTCACTATTAAAGTCTCTCCAATTGGTTACAATCGTCCGACTTGTCAAAAGGAAAAATATCAAAAGATGTCACCCCCTTCGGGAGTTACAGGAATCTGTAATTAATCCGTTTTGTCACGCGCCAAAACAGTTTGTGCTTGAATTGATATTATCAAAATGTCCAAAAAATATTGCTCTGTGCCTGCTTGTAGGGTAATCAAGGATCCTAGAGAGCACAAAATAATGGACAGATTCCCTTCAAACACTGTGAACAAAAGGTTGTGGTGCAAAAAGGTTTTTAATGCTACAAGTAGGTACCCCAACATAAATCTTTTACCTAAGGGAATGTATACCCATTAAAACCATTTCAGGTGATAATATTGCCAATAATTTATACATTTGTGGTAAACACTTTTGAGAGAAGTTGTTATTATTCAAATAAAAGAATTAAACCCGGCTCTGTTCCTACTTTGTTCCTCCATGGTTCCAAGTCACCGCTACCTGTTCCTACTTCTTCAAGCTACCCAGCAAGCACTAAACGTGATCCAGAATGCAGCTTCATAATTCCTGAGACACATTCCGATAACAATGTAAACACCTCAAGGAAAAATTTTCCTACTGCATATCCCTTTGAAGACCATCCACGCCCATGGCGTTGTGACTTTGGCACCGGTACCGAAATTTTGCCTCTTTTTCAAGTAAAAACCGAAATACATGATGTCAAATTGTGTCAAAAAGTCAGACCATGACAGACATTTAGCCGACATTACAGATTCCTTTCCCTCCCGACGTATGCGTCCTCACATGTCACATTTAAGGGATTGGAGAGACTTTAATAGTGAATCAACGAAGACGACGATTTTGATACTTGTAGATAGTGCGGAGACGTCAACTCTGCTCCAGGTCGGGCAAACATCTAGGTATCTAATTCTAATTATGCTTATTTAGTGCGCAAACACATTCAATTCATTTTGGATTACGAAACGAAGTCCCTTAAAAAATATTGTGATAATTGTTTTTCGATAGAAAATTCTGCCGCTGCCGAACTTCTTTATAGTAGGTGCTGAAATAAGATTGATGCGGAAATTAAATGTTTCACAAGCTTTTCGTAACTTAATTCGTTATCAGTTTTTACGAATTCGTTCATCCAGCTTATTTGACCAATAAGTTCAATATTGTTTGTTCTGTTTTGCATTAACTGTGGTTAGAGTTTAACACTTTTACATATACCTAGCTGTAGTTTTAACTTCATTCAAATGTATTTATACACAATAGCGCATCATTCACGTATTGATGAACACATTTATCGTACAGTGGAATCTGGTTATAACGACATCGGTCATAGCGAAAGTTCGGATATAACGACAAATCATCATTTAAAGAAATTTTGTTTATTGCACTAATGTGGGAAAAGTGGTAACATAAAGGTGCTCTCTTAGGAGAAAGATAATGTTTAGGGTGCTTAGGGATTATCTGGTTTTAAAACGACATGCCTTTAAAATCTCATTAAGGGGTTTATGTGGTATAAATAAGGCCGACGTCTGGAAATGCTATCTCTACATTTCAGTTGTGGTATCTCACCAGACACTTTAAATAGTGAGAACAGTTTGTTCAATTTTTTCATTGATTGTCATTATAACCAGGTTCCAGTGTAGTTTAATTTATGTGTCGGCACGTGCCGTCGGTGTTCCATGCTTTAAGGGCGTTTTCTGTTTGGTTCCAGGGCGTCCGGGTGGCGAACATGTGATGCGCCGCGATGCCCACACTGTCCGCGGCGACTGAGCTGAGTCCCGGCGGCCGCAATTCGCGGCAGAAACAGCAGCAGCAGCAGCAGCAGCAGCAGCAAGAAGAGCCAAGAATGAGCCCCGAGCAAGAGGCGAGTCCGCCACCAGCAGCGCCCGGCGCGTCGCCGCCCCCGCCACCCCCGACTCGCCTGCCCTCGCCCGCGATGTCCCACCAGGACACCTCGGACGTGGAGCAGTTCTCGGGCAAGATCGTGTACAACCCCGACGGGTCCGCGTACATCATCGAGGACTCGGAGAGCGACGGCGAGTGCCACAACACCCCCGTACCGGAGATCGTGCCGCCGCTCCAGGCCGTGTACGTGTCGCGGCTGCTGCGGCAGGCGGCCCGGCCCGCCGAACTGCCCGCCGTCCACAGCTACCGCGTGGTGGCGCTGAGGGACGCCCGGCCGCCGCGGCCCGCGTCGGTGCCCGTCAAGCCCATCCTCATGTGCTTCGTCTGCAAGTTGAGCTTCGGCTTCGCGCGCTCCTTCGCCAACCACGCGCAGGCCGAGCACGGCGTCGCGCTCAAGGAGAACGAGAGGGAAGTGCTGGCCGCGGACTGCTCGGCCATCCTGCAGTGCGTCGGGGCCGACAAGCGGCCGATGGTGTCGCTGCTGGAGCCGCTGGGCCCGCCACCGGATAGCCACCAGAGTCAGCAGGCGGCGGCGGCGGCGCAGAGTAGGCAGGAGGGGCCCTCGCCGCACCCGGAGACGCCGCCGTGCTCGTCGTCGCGGAACACGCCGGGCAAGTCGCCGTCGCCGCCCTTCGCGCCGCCGCCCGCCTTCATGACGGGCACGACGATAGGCGTGTGCCCGGAGCACCTGCAGGGGCGGCCCTCGGGGGTGGAGTGCGCGAGGTGCGAGATGATCCTCGCCTCAGGCCGGCTGGGGCCGGCCGGCCTCGCCAACGTCCACAGCAGGAACTCGTGCAAGACGCTCAAATGCCCCAAGTGCAACTGGCACTACAAATACCAGGAGACGCTCGAGATACACATGAAGGAGAAGCATCCGGAGGCGGAAACGAGTTGCATTTACTGCATAGCCGGGCAACCGCACCCCCGGTTAGCCAGGGGAGAGACGTACACGTGCGGATACAAACCGTACCGGTGCGAAGTCTGCAACTACTCGACCACGACCAAAGGCAACCTCAGCATACACATGCAGTCCGATAAGCACCTCAACAACATGCAGGAGCTCCAGAACGGGGGCGCCCCCAATTCCGAGTCCCGACAGTCGTCCCCGAAGGCGCCTCCCCTGCACCACTCCCCCGTCAGCAGCGGCCACAAACCCAAACCCAGTTTCCGTTGCGACGTCTGCAACTACGAGACGAACGTGGCGCGGAACCTCAGGATCCACATGACCTCTGAAAAGCACACCCACAACATGCTCGTCCTCCAACAGAACGTCAAACACATGCAGACGCTGTCGGCGCTCCACCACCAGCACCCGCCCCAACAGCACATGGAGAGCCTCTACGGCATGTACCCCGGTTTAGGGGAGAAGCCGGAGGCGGCGCTCGCCGACATGGCCTACAACCAGGCGCTCCTCATCCAGATGATGACCGGGGGCCAGCTGCCGGGCCCCGACATGTCCGCGCACTCCGACCTCGGCCTCAACCCGGAGACCATGGAGCCGCCGCCGGAGCCCGCCGACCCCGACCCCGACCGCACATACCAGTGCTGCGTGTGCAACATCTTCAGCAGCGACAGCCTCGAGGAGCTCGGCCGGCACCTGGGCCAGGACCGGACGCGGCTCCGGGAGCAGGAGATCCTCGCCGTCGTCGCCGGCCACTACGTGTGCAAGCTGTGCACGTACAAGACCAACCTCAAAGCCAACTTCCAGCTGCACTGCAAGACTGACAAGCACCTCCAGAGACTGCAGCACGTCAACCACGTCAAGGAGGGCGGGCCGCGGAACGAGTGGAAGCTCAAGTACGCGTCGGCGCCAGGCGGCGTGCAGATCAGGTGCAACGCGTGCGACTACTACACGAATTCGGCGCACAAGCTGCAGCTGCACGCCGCCGCCGGCCGCCACGACGCCGGCGTCGCGCTCCTCAAGCACCTGGTGGAGCGCTGCGCCGCCCTCAGGCAAGACCAACCCAGAGTGTTCCATTGTTCCTTGTGCGGGTTCTCCGCGACCAACAGGCTGCCGCTGCTGCAGCACGTGCGATCGCTCAAGCACCTCCACATGGAGCAGCTGCACCAGCTCCAGAGGAGGGCGGAGGGGAAGGAGAACTCCCCGGAGATAGGAGAGGTGTTCCACGTCGTTCCGGGACCGATCGACCAACAAACTACGCCAGGTAGGAAACATTCGACCTTCACACCCCTCACATCGTATCGTCCCAAAAACCTACCCGTTTTTTCTTTGACCAAAAAACACCATTTAATACGGAACAAAGGTAAATCATATGCAAAAACAACAACAACATTTTACATAAAGCGTCGACCTCTCTCAAGTTTTTCTTTTTATTTTTGCTTGTTGTTTTCGTAAACTGATAACGCCGACAATTCTTCTGCTGTCAATATTACGTTGCTTTTAATTATTACCACTACGTTTTCTTAAGTTAAGTTACAAGTTTGCACGCGTCTTGCGACTGCACAAGACGACAGCGATTTAATTAGTTGTTTTCTAAGCTTTTTTGGTTGCGTTTTTGTTGAGACAACGGCAGTAACAGTTTTGCAGTCACAGCGCGTGGTTACGTTCGAGTGCGACTGTGCCGAGAACTGGAATCGGCAAGTTGTTTGTCATTAATTCCGTTTATGCAAATGTTTGTGCTCAAAAGCAAACTTTTTGTCTTAACCCTTCAAAGAACGGCGAACAAAGGTCAACTAGGTAACAATACGGAGATGTTTCCCGCTGACGGAAAAATTGTTCTCGCTTGTTAATGGATGCAACAAAAACGTTAAACAACTGGCATAATGAAATCTGCACACGAATAGCTTCTGTTGGAAAATATTTAATGAACTTCAACAACACACGTAATGACTAATGTTATAATGATGTAATACAAATATTGAGTTGTTTTCGAGAAGAATTCTTCATTTCGTGTCATAGAACCTCGAGGTATCTGGTGTCGATGTGCTGGAAAATTTATGGCAGACTGGATCAATTCACATGTAGATTGTTGTAGAATTATGTTACGAAACTCCCAAATTTAAATGTTGTGTTGGTGTCGTACAATAAATCTTCAATTGTCTTTAGATACAGAGTAGCTTATTATGAAGTATTTACATAACTCAGACGGGACGAATTTTTCAGGATTAAATTTAATAAGTGTCACTACCAGACCGCATTCGCATAAATTGTTAATTTTTTATCGGGCGTCCATATTTTAATCTTTTGTTATTATAATCTGAGTAATTATTTTCATTATAACGTATTTTCACTCTTATGTGTTCAGTGCACCAAAGAGATTTCCTTCGCAGCGCCGTGCCATAAATTACAAAAAAATGTTACAGCTTTTTTAAGCCTGAAAGAAATTTTAATCAAACAGTGAGTGTAAAGGAGTAACACTAAACATTATGTCATCTATACGACAAAAAATCAATGCAAGCACACACAAAAAATATTTTTATTATTGAGCAAACAAGTAAATACAAGTATTTTCAAGGAGAAACCGACAATATTTACACCCCAAAAGCACCCTATTTTCGAATATTTGAAAGCCGGCAAGAATACATTGCTTCAAACAAATAGCACAATAGTCTTCCAAGGTTAATGTGGTAAAGTTTACCTGAAAATAGAATGGGTTCTCAAATAATGGTACCAAGAAATAGTTTTTGTCGTTTCTTTCGTATTTTTACAGTTTTTAAATGTTTATGAGCATTATTTATTAATAAGTTGTTTTTACAAGCAATTTATTGATCCGTAACAATCAATTTTTACCACACTTGAGTTAATCCTACAGCGTTGTATTAGATGATTTTGGTCTACTGCGGTAGTCGAGAGCTTTGTTGAGTTATCCACTTAAAAATGTTTATCGACGAGTGTTTAGATAAAAAAACTTAGCTGTGATTTAGCGGCTTGAAAATATTTGTTTTTATGTGGCAATACACACAAGACTTTCGTATTTTTAAAATTCGTGTCAATTTTTCTTCGTTGAAAAAAAGGGTTGTAACTGTGTCGCGTATCACTCGAGCAGATCTTACACGGTTACGCGCGCGATATCTTTGTCGTTGCGAAATGGCTAAATAGCCCCATCTGTGCGTCAGGGGTGTTATGTTTGTCTCTTTAGCGTGAATTGACAATTGTTTGTAACTGTGTCAGTCGGGGGTAGCAACTGTGCAGCTGTCCCCGCCCTTCCGCAGCTAGATCGCGTTTCGTGTAATGGTCCGAGAAAATTGCTATTAATAACGTCTACTTTGTAGGCTCATAACACATTTCACCAAAATCCAAATCAAATTACGTTACGATGTAATTTTCGGCGTGTAATTTGTGACTTTAACAGAATAGGATAATTTTAACGGAATTTTCGTGTAAATAATTGGACGTTTCTCGACGTCAGTCCTCGATCCGACCGTCGCAACGTTGTATTTTTCAAACAATGCTTTTAACAGTTAGCCGCGTATCGTGATGAAATATCACATTGTGTATTTAAGGATCAGTTTAATTATCCTGTTCGTGCATGTGTTTGGCACCCATGGCGTCACTGCGGGCCCTTCCAGGCCGTATGCCTGGTGTTGCCGTAATTGTGGGGATTTTTTAATAAAATATATTCGTCCGCCTGTAATTAGGAATATTTTTGATCTGTTGTTTGTTGCGAGGCGGGGACGGGCCCCCGAGCCCGGCCACACAATGGGGCTCTAAACCGATTGTTCTTATTGTCACTGCGGCCCGGTGTTTTAGTTACATCTTACACCGTTAATCCCTGTCATTACTGTAACACAATGCACGCCTAAATTCCACCTCTCGACGCTTTCTCCGAAACAAACATGGCTTCGAGACACTCGTTATTGTTAGCGGACCGTTTTATGCACAAGCTGGCTTTGTTTTCGGGGACCAAAGCGAAAAACGGACCATTTGACCATAATACGGACCTTGTTTGGAAGTCCGCCACGAATCGAAACGATATGCTCGATCTACCGAACCGTTCAAAATCATACACACAGAGCCGGCACAGCTCAAGGCCCAGTTTTGGGTTCATTGCTTTTTTGCAATTTCCCGACCGACCAATGTGCTCACTCTGACCTAATAACAGCCTTCTGTAGGTCGGTTTGTCACCTGTTTGAGGTCAACGTAATTTATCTATTATACATTAAAAAAAAATTGACAAAATTTATGTTTAGGAGAGTATTATACGAAAGAGTGAAAACAGTGGAAATCTAAGAAGTTTTTCCTTTTCTTTTTATGCAAATCAAGCTTGTCTAAAAAAAATTGTCACTTGATGATTTTGACGAAAAACTACCGAAGAATGTTAATAATTTTAGATCTTTGTTAAATTGAGTATGACATTTGCTAATTTTTTTATTTGGTGTACAAATAGCAAAAAGCAAATTTGTGAGATAATTTTTTTCATCGCGGCGGTCTGGACACTTCAGTGACGAACTTCGTTAAGAATTTGCGCAAACAATAACGTAGCCACGTTTTCCATGCCGTTGTAGCATTTCAGGTTTGGTTGCACCTCCACACATCGATTAGCATTACAGATTGCAGTAAAATATTTTCATTTTTAGTGTTCATGTCTGTTTATGTGGGTAAGCTGAAAACGGTTGAAACTTTAAAAATAAATTCTTTGTCATTCCAGTAAAACTGGATATGTAAATGACAATTGGGGCGAAATTTTTTCTGAAAGACAACAACCTAGCACGTTTTGCCCGCCAACAGAAGCTATTTCCAAAACAGCTTTTATTATGACAGTCGAAGACAAATTGTGCTGTGTATTTTCCAGTGTCGTGTTATCACCTGCTTCTTGCCAAACTGTTTTCGCACAGAGTGGCTCATTTATAAGAATTTGCATATACGGAGAGGGATTAATTTTTCAGGATTAAGTGGCAGTATTTGTCAATTTTGCTTAAATTGTTCCGCGTGTATAGTATTAGCGTCACCGTTGATATATACTTTTTCATCGAGTTGTTTATATCGGGTTGCTCAATTGAATGTGCAATTTCTATTACATTATAATAAATGAGCTGTTTCGATCAAAATTGTTAATTAAAATAATTTATTTGTCCAGTAGGTAAATAACTTACGCAAATTCTGTATAGGTGAAATATACCGTTAAATTAATTCTTTGTTTTAAAGTTTTGAAAACTAATGATTTGTCGTGCTCTGGGTCAAAACCGAAATAAATTTAATAACTATAAATATTTTTCACCCATTGTGTTCTAATCAATTAATTGAAATTCTTATGTGGTCGATTTGTTGACATGAATATTAATTGATTCAGATAGCGTCTGGACCATAAACGTTCCAGCGTAATTTCAACATCATCAAACGAGGAACAAATTAATTAATAAAGGTTTGGTTTCACGTCATGTGCATTACCTACACAGTTTCCAGTGCGATAAAAACAGAATTGTAATTTTTTATTCCTGTCATACTTGGATTTGAAATAGTTTTTCATACACTAAAAAGTAAAAAAGTTAATTTGTTCCACGTCTCTTGTCACGAAAACTCCCATACTCGTATGTATCGTGTACCGTAACCCTTGCTCTTTCCCCAGAGCGTCGCGACAGCGTAAACTCCGAACTGAGCCAGATCGAGTCCAGCCGCGGCGACCCCGTGAAAACCGAACCTCGCGAAGACAACGAAGAACTCCCCACGTCCGAATCCTCCCCCCAGCACGTGTGTCCGTACTGCGAGTACAGCAGCGACTCGGAGATGCGCATCCAAGCCCACGTCCTCGCCCAACACGGCACCAGCGCTTCCACGGAGCAGCAGATGTTCCAGTGCCCCCTCTGCCAAGACTCGTTCAAGGACCGCTCCAGCCTCGAGCGGCACGTCATGCAGATCCACTCCGTGAACAGCGAGGGCCTCCAGCGACTGCTCATGCTCGTGGACCAGAGCCACTGGCTGAACCAGTCGTCGCGGACGCCCACCCCCAACAACCCCAACAGCAGCCAGATCGTGTCCCCCACGTCGGTGTCTTCCAAGGACTCCGCCAAGCAGGAGAAGGGCGAGGAGGGGGAGCGCGAGCTGATGTCGCCGTCGACGGAGGACGGCGGCGAGCTGGAGGCCGAGCGGTGCCTCACGTGTCTGAAGACGTTCAAGAACATCGACGAGCTGTGTTTCCACCAGAACGAGACGGGGCACCTGGAGATCAAGCAGACGCCGAGCGGGCCGGGGTATTTGTGCTGGAAGAAGGGGTGCAATCAGTTTTTTCCGACCGCGAACGCGCTCCAGATGCACTTCAAGGACTCGCACGCGAGGAACTCCATCACCAACATGTCGGTTTCGGAAAAGCACGTGTACAAATACAGGTGTAACCAGTGCTCGCTGGCGTTCAAGACGCTGGAGAAGCTGCAGCTTCATTCGCAGTACCATTTGATCAGGGATGCCACCAAGTGCGTCCTGTGCGGGAGGAGCTTCAGGTCGCTGGTGGCGCTGCACAAGCACGTGGAGAGCGTGCACTCGGAGCTGACGGACGAGGAGTTGACCGCGTACAAGCAGAGTTTGATGAACAATCCGCTGCTGCTGGCCGGGCTGCAGGGCCAAGTGCTCGACAGCTCGACCAACGACATCCTGAAGAAAGAGTCGATGGCAGGGGAGGAAGAGGCGGCGGATTGCGACGACAGCAAAGAGTTGAACACGAGTCACGACGATAGCGTCCAGAACGACGGGGAGAATTCCGACGACAGCATCATATACAAAGATCAACAGTTCCTAGAAGATTACCTGAACAGTCAAGCGATCGCGGAGGATAGCTACAACGATCCGAACCGAAAATACAAGTGCCACCGTTGCAAAGTGGCGTTCACGAGACAGAGTTATCTCACGGCTCACAACAAGACCCTTTTGCATCGAAAGGGCGAAAAACTGAGCTATCCGATGGAAAAGTACCTGGATCCAAATAGGCCTTACAAGTGCGACGTCTGCAAAGAAAGTTTCACGCAAAAAAATATACTCCTAGTCCATTACAATTCGGTAAGTCACTTACATAAGTTGAAGAGGGCGATGCAAGAGCAACAGAACAACAACAATAATCCGGCGGTGTCTCCCGTTATCGGGAATCAAGCGCAGAACCTGACGTTGACGCCGAAGAGCACCTCGAGCGAAGAAGACGACAAGAAGAGGTACCGCTGCAACATCTGCAAGGTGGCGTACACGCAAGGCAGCACCCTCGATATTCACATGCGGAGCGTTCTGCACCAGACCAGGGCGAGTAAACTGCAGGATCTGGCGATGGCCGGACAGATAGATCTGTCGAAGCCGCTGATTGAGCAGCCTGATGCCCTGCAGTCTCCGAAACAAAGCAGCCCCATCCCCGGTGGTGGGGAGAAGACGTCTCCCACCCCTCCGTCACCTGGCACAGGTAGCCAAGGGATGATGAGTTGTCCCAAGTGCGGCGCCCTTTTCGGTTCGCAAGAGCAGTTGAGTGCACACCAGCAGCTGTACTGCATGTTCGCGGCGCCGATGGCCATCTTTCAATCGGCGCAAGAGCCGGGCCAGGCCAAGAGTCCGCCTCCTGGTGAACAAGACGACGCCGTCGTCCGACTGAACATGCCCAAGAAAACGGGCTCGCACATGTACAAACACTTGTTGGAGAGCTTCGGCTTCGATCTGGTGATGCAATATAACGAGAGCCACCAGCGGCGACAGCGCCAAGAGGAGAAGGCCCGGACGCCGCCCCCGGAGCAGCCCGAGGCCAAAGCAGAGGACGACGCAGAAAGCACCTTACCAGAAGTAAGTAGATCCACGTGCCAACATTGCAATAAAGAGTTCTCTAGCGTGTGGGTGTTAAAGTCACACTGTGAAGAAGTACACAAAGATTTAGTGCCACTAGAATTCTTAGAACAGTATGCCCAACAGTTCAAGAACGAATACGAAAAGAAAACGGTGGTCGTGACGGCGGCGACGTCTTCCACGATAAACAGCCATCCTCGGGTAGCGACGCCCGGAGCGCCCACCACCACGACGTCGACGAGTCCGGGCGCCGACGCCACACCCGAAAAGGACGACGAGTCCAAAGACGCGTTGCACGCCAAGCTCAACCTGCAGACGCCACCGGAGGCGGCGTCCACGGCGCCGTCGACGCCGACCTCGTCGACGACGCCGGCCAGCAGCACCGACTCGCTGCCGGCGAACATACAGGCGATGATCGCGCAGAGCATGCAGAATCCGATGGCTCTGGCGCAACAGATGACCGAAATGCAAGCGGCGCTCAACGTGATGCAACTGCAACAGCTAAATTTCAATCCGATGATGCAGATGATGGGCATGGGGCTGCCTCTGGGCCTGAACGCCCTGGCCGCGATGAACCTCCAGCCGCCCCTCGTGCCGCTGATGATGCCGCCGCCTCCCTACGATCCGATGGCGCAGTTCGGGCCCCAGGACCAGCAGGCGATGATGGCCAAGCAGCAGGCGATGATGCAGCAACAAGCGGTGAGTTTTTACGATTATCGCTGTCATTCTCTTTTCATTTCTGCCCATTGTTGTACAGAGCGTTCCAATTACGCCTTGTAAAAATCGTAACGTAACGACGGGCCTTGTTCAAATTATTGCGTCTTAGTTACGGGTGGGTTTTTCCGTCGGGGACGTTTACCTGTTCTTTTAAAACCTCGACTCGTAATAAATAGTCAGAATCGGTCCTTCGTAGAAATTTTTATTGAAGTTAAGCGGACGGTGTAACGAGATCGGTTTTGTTCTAGATGCTTTCGCGTTGTTGTATTTACTTGGACCGCAAGCAGCGAAAAAGGAACAACAATCGATCAGCTTCATTTTTCCGTTACCTTAATGCACTTGGAAATTATTTACTTAACGTTTGATTAAAGGAAACGCATCATTTCTTCGATATCGCAGGGCTCTATTTAACGGTAACTGTAACAGAGCAAAATAAGATGTCTCAATTACCTCATTTCTTCTTAATTGTGCTGATGAAATTTTAATTTAATAAATTAATTAATACCCGTCTGTGTGAATGTACCACCTACTGCTTTAGAAATGACAGTTGCTTTTGATAAATTCTCATTAGCTGCAAATACGTTTCACGCTGCGTTCGTTATTGCCCAAAATTATCTAGAAATTTTATGTTGAAATTGATCGGAAGTACTTAATTAATTTCTAATTTTCTCTGTCATTGCGGTAATTAAAATCTTTAATAAAAATTGAGACATTATATCACAACACGCTCAGGATGCTTGAAAAAAAAAATGATTATGGGAAATTCTGATAAGATCGTACACACACGTTTCAAACTCAGTTTTGTAGGTTTTTCCGTTTGTTTAAATGACTTATCTTGACGTAAACTGAGAGTAAATAAATCTGAAATAAAAATGTAACAATTGATTTTTTGCTGATTTTCATAATGTATAATCATAAATGAACATACTCTATACATATTACTCACTACAAGAAAGAACAAAGTGCAGTGAATCTCCTTGGTACAATCTGAAAGTTAAATTAAAAATAAGTAGAAAAATTGTTTTTTTACCTACGTTAAAATTACATAACATATTGAACGCACACTGAAACCATTTAAATGAGTACCGCTGTTTCTCAAAGTCTCTTGGGTATCTATACTTTGAAGTCCTGACTTTATAGTTGAAAAGTTCGTAAAGATGATTCCCAAAACGTGTTCAATCAAAATAAAGGAAAAACAAGAACAATTTACAACATACTTTTGCCTTTTGGTTGTCGCAAAACAAAATTTTATTTTAAGCATGCAAATAAATTACAGCAAATCCTACTATCGAGTGGAATTAACTATATCTTGGTTGTCTTAAAAGGTCACATTATAATTTTCCTTATTCGGAAGAATCGCATTTTTATTTATTTATTTTAAACAGGATGTATTGTTTTGGAAAATCCTGTCGAGAGGATTCTGTTAATCATTTTGTGGTTATCAATAACATACCACAAATAAACTCACTCGAAAATGATCATAATAAAAATCGCTTCCCGTATATTTTATTTATGAGAAATCGTATTAGAAATTGTAATAATTGCTTTTTATGTTGGCGTTTTGCTGCAAAATTAAGACATATACCGACGTCAACCTGAATCCGTGCGTGAATGGCTAATAAGATTTTTTTATGAACTCTTATTATTTCTTAACCCAATCAATTAAGTCAATAACGTTACTAGATAGTATCGATAAAAGAGAATGCATAATTTTTGAAAAGTGCAATACCGTTCGATGTAAATAGCACCCATTATTATGGTCATTATTTTATTAACGGATATTAAACTCTGGCATTTTTCGTTTTTTGCTCGCGTAATTATTATACGTTATTGCTCTCCTTTATGTCGACAGTTATGCTGTTCGTATCATAATTATAATAAATTTTATCTTTCAGGCACTCAGCTGCCGACGTCGGGTGTTGTTGTTTCGAACGTTTATTGGGACGCTCTGTATTCGGCCGGCCGAACGTAGGATAATTTCTGTCGGTGGTGTAATTAAAAGTTCGGGGCGGTGTTGTGGAAGAACACTTTGTATTTTGGCCTCACGTATTACTAATTAAAGTTACCGACCGTTGTTAAAAGTGATTATCGGCGTATAATTCCGTTAATGAGTAGTTGCGCCGTCCGAGTTTTAGTACATTGGTAATTTTTTCTTTGGTATTTTAAATTACACGCATAGTGGAGAGTACAATAATTATAGATTTCGAGATCTGACAATTATTAGCGTCTGTTTCGATCCGACTGTTGATTATTTTAATTGCTGTTTGTACGATGTAGCCTTGCATTGTGATAATTATCGTAATTGATTTATTGCCAATTTGTTACAATTTATTAAGGCTGTGTGTATTTACGGATCGGGTATTGAGACCGTATAAATCTGTATAATATCGACAGTGGAATAATGCGAGGTTTATGCATTGTCGTTTTTTCTCTCTGTTGCTCAGGCCGTTAACGCTGCTGCGAATCAGAAGCGCGCAAGAACGCGCATCACCGACGATCAGTTGAAAATTTTGCGTGCGCACTTCGACATAAACAACTCTCCATCGGAAGAGCAGATCCACGAGATGGCATCGCAGAGCGGTCTTCCACCCAAAGTCATAAAGCATTGGTTCAGGAACACACTGTTCAAAGAGAGACAACGAAACAAAGATAGTCCATATAACTTCAACAACCCGCCTTCGACGACGCTCAACCTAGAAGAGTACGAAAAAACCGGTGAAGCCAAAGTCATGCCCCTGAACAGCTCGGGCAGCAGCACCGAGGAGATCAAACAACCGAAGAGCGACGCGACGCCCCCTCAAGAAATCAAGACAGAGATGAAGGAAGAGCCGGTGGAAGACGCGGCGAAATTCGACGAGAGCAAAAACTGCGAACCGACGGAAGAGAAACCCAACATTTTTAACCTATCCTCAAATCTCCAGCCCCCGCAAAGTCCCGCGACGTCGGTCGCGAGCTCAGACAATCTCAACCTGTCGCAGGCCTCCGCTCCCACCACTCCCAATAGTCTCACCCTCACGTCGATCATCGTGTCGCAGCTAGGCGACACCCTCACCACCAGCACTTCTGCCCTCAACATGTCGACCTCCTCGACGCACCACGGCTTGTCCAGTCCGATGCTGCCGCCCCCCAAACTCAACCAGCAGAATTTTCCCAACCCAAATAACCTCCAAGCGATGCTGCCGCTCACCCCCAACCGGTGTCTCAGTCCGAACCGCGACTACAACAGTTCAAGCAGCCAAGGTTCGTGCGGTACCACCGGCAAAAGAGCGAACCGAACGAGGTTCACTGATTACCAGATAAAAGTTTTGCAAGAATTCTTCGAAAATAACGCTTATCCCAAAGACGACGATCTCGAATATCTATCGAAATTGTTGAATCTCAGCCCGAGAGTGATTGTGGTTTGGTTTCAGAACGCTAGACAGAAAGCGCGGAAAGTCTACGAGAACCAACCCGCCGCAGAACCGGCGCCTGGCATCAGCGACGAGAGCGGCGCCAACAGATTTCAAAGAACCCCGGGACTCAACTACCAGTGCAAAAAGTGCCTCTTGGTCTTCCAGAGGTACTACGAACTGATCCGCCACCAAAAGACGCACTGCTTCAAAGAGGAAGATGCTAAGCGGTCGGCGCAAGCGCAGGCGGCGGCGGCGCAAATCGCCGCTGTCCTCAGCTCGGAAGACTCCAACTCCAGCACGACGGTCGAACAGTCGCAGCAACAACAACAGCAACAGAACAGCGTCCAGCACAGCCCGCAGCTGCAGAACGCCGCCCAGAGCCCGATCCAGCCCAACCTTTCGACGACGCCGACCCCCACGGCCGGAAATTTTCCCTCTTCTCCCTCCTCCGGTGATAATAAAGAAGGCACGTTTCAGTGCGACAAGTGCAATCTAGTTTTTCCGAGGTTCGACTTGTGGAGGGAGCATCAGTTAGTTCACATCATGAACCCGAATTTATTTCCGACATATCCGCCGGATTCCCCTTTCGGGATCTTGCAGCAGCACGCCCAACTCCAGCAGCTGAACGCGAACCTGGGGGACATGACGAAGAACTCCTCGCAGAACATGCAGCACCCGCTCATGAACATGCTGAATAACGTGGCGGGGCAAAAGCGGAAGCTCGAGGAGTTCGAGGTGGAGAGCGACACGTCCGATCAACCCAAAGACAAGAGGTTGAGGACGACGATTTTGCCAGAGCAGTTGGACTACCTGTACCAGAAGTACCAGATCGAGAGCAACCCTTCGAGGAAAATGTTGGAGAACATTGCAAGAGAAGTGGGGTTAAAAAAAAGAGTGGTACAGGTGTGGTTTCAGAACACTAGGGCTAGAGAGCGGAAAGGGCAGTTTCGTGCCCACGCACAAGTAATCAACAAGAGGTGTCCCTTTTGTCCCGCTCTGTTTAAAGTTAAGTCAGCTTTAGAATCTCATTTGACGACGAAGCACGCGGCGAGGGGCGAAGTTAACATCGACGCCCTTCCCGACGAAGAAGTCAGTTTAGAATCTTCGCCTAGTCTTAGTTCGGGGGGCGACAACAAGTTTCAACAGAACCCAAACATGATGCCTCCGATGTTTCCGACTTTGCATCCAGAGATGGAGAATTCGATCAAAAAATATTACGAAGAGAGCATGAAAAGATACATCAGCGAGTTGCAAGCTCACGCTTCGTCCTCCAACGGCGACAAGAGCGAGATAAAGTCGGGGAAAGAGGAAGGGGAGATCCCTTTAGACTTGTCGAAGCCTGTCGATTTGTCCCGCCCGATGAAAGTCTCGATGGACCACGAGCGCAGCATCTGCGATCCTGGTCCTTTGACAGATCTGAGCGAGCGATCGCTTTGTGACGAACGAAGCGACTCCATGTCGGAAACGACGGAGATGTACGACGATGAGAGTAACCCGACTTCGCCGGCCAGCAGCACCCAGAGTAATACGCAGAAGTTGTCCAACAACACGGGCGGTTCCGCTTCCAAACGGTTTCGCACCCAGATGTCCTCCATCCAGGTCAAGGTGATGAAGTCGCTCTTCTCCGACTACAAGACCCCCACGATGGCCGAGTGCGAGATGCTCGGTCGCGAAATCGGCCTGCCGAAACGCGTGGTGCAAGTGTGGTTTCAAAACGCCCGAGCTAAAGAGAAGAAGAGCAAGATCGCGCTTCAGAAGGTCCTGGGGGCGCCCGACAACGACAACCCCGTGCTGCCGGAAGACTGCAAGTTCTGCAACTTCAAGTATTCGCACAAGTACTCCATCCAAGACCACATCTTCACCAAGAGCCACATCGCCAACGTGCGGCTGCACCTGGAGAACGCGAGCAAAGAGAACGACACCAGCGAGTTCACGGTGCCGCCGCTGCCGGGGGCCTCCGCCGGCGTGAGCGCCGACTCCACGACCAACCCGCCGCAGAACCTCAACAACAACACCCACCTCCAGCTCCTGCAGATGGCCGGGATGCAGGTGCCTCCCGCGAAGGGCGAGCAGGAAGAGAACAACGAGACGCTGTTCCAGCAGCTGTACGCGCTGGGCAACAACGCCAACTACGGGGTCCAGAACCAGTACGTGCACCACTCCATGTTCGGCGCCAACGGTGAGTACTCGTTGTAGTCTGTGGTGGTGGTTTTGGTTGCTGCTTGCATGCCGCGGAAGCCATTTTCGAAAAGCGCGTCAAATCGGAACTGGGAGAATCTGATAGCGATGTTTGCTTTGACAATCAACAATTCAATTAGATAACGGCAGCTAAAGAGAAAACACAATAACGCTCATAAAACATGCAACATTTATGACATTTATTATTTATTTGTTGAGTAGTACAAGTAACGAGGAGTGTTTTTACATAACGAGATGTCGGTTTGTGTGCTTTTTTCATTATGACACTTAACGAAAAAAGGGGCGCCACCTGTAGTTGTGACGTCAGGGCTATTACGAGGCAGATTTCGATTTTAGACACTTGAATGGTTTTGTCGTGCATGCTTTCAGTGTCTTTGACGTCTTAATTAGCGCAGGAATTTTTTTATCGGCTTTCCGACATTTTTCTAATAAATATTATTTTTTATTCATTGTGATTTATTTCGTTTCGGTTCTGATTTATGGCGGCGATGGAATCTGAGATTCTTGAATATATAATGCTCGAGAATTTAATTATAGTTTGTGATACGGGTAAGGACGTGACTACTTGATTGAACACCCGAATATTTAACACACATACTGGGTGTTGCATGCCTTCGTCTGTTACAAATAAGACCCGATCAAATAACGGACACAAAAATACTTTCTACACTTTTTATAATAAAACGACAGAATTTTGCTTCTGCTTCCTTAAAAGCACAGGACATCGTATCCTAAACTGAAAATCTGGGACATTTTTATTTCACTTTTTTCGGCTTAGCTCTTCAACATAATCTGTTGGAATTTTCGACTAGTTAAAAAAAACTAAAAAATATTAAATTTATTTTTTTTTAATTATATTTTGAATTTTTATGTAAGTGGTTTTTTAAATTTTTTTTTGTCTTTTTTTCTGTTTAACTTTTTTACTTATCTGTTGGAATTTAAACAACTCAACAAAATTGATTATTTTGAAAGTTACATTCAGAGATATATTTTCCCTGAATATTTCAGCTGTTGGTGGTTTCGATGGCGTAAGCAACTTATTTTAATTTGCAGTGTGGAAAATGATGAGTCAATAAATCCATTTTTAAGGCTACTTACTGTTATTTATATCGGGTGATTTTTTAATACATTTCTGTTCTAGTTTGCCATGACGCTTACGTCAGCCGTTTCAATTGCACTGTTGACATCATAGTCTACTAGAGCAGAAATTTAAAAATTCACACGGTACCTATAATTAATAATTCAGGGGTATTTGCAATCGGTTATCTCTAAAATATTTGATTTTATGTGGCCAAATAATTGCAGTAAACATCAAAAGTACTTACTTATACATCAAGAAATTTGCAAAGATAAATCAACCTTGCCTAATGTCTTTTCATAATCAATCATTTCCAAACAAATTTCAAGTTCACCTTTAATCCTGTTAATCACAATATTTTGATTTTAAAATTCATTAAACTTGGATGTAATCAATTAAAAAAGATCTATTCTATTGCAAGATAATATAATATACCTACTTAAAATAAAAATAATATACAGGGTGTCTCAGCTAAAATTCTGCAACCTAATATCTTTAGATAGTACTTACAATAATGTTTCATTACATAAAAATATTAAAACAAAATTTCACTCTCAAGATTTAAAACGAAAACGAAACGACAAGCAAAGAACCTAAACCTTTCCGGCTTAAATTTAGACAATTGGTCACCTTAGAACAGGTAGCAACAAGTAAAAATTGGTAACCACGTTTCTGATTCATTCGAAGTCATATTAGAGGTACCGCAAAGTTCTCATTGTGGTCCAGTTTTATTTGTGATTATTTGAGAAATTGTTTTCAATTTTCTCAATGTTTGTTTTCTGCAGATGATTGTAAAATAATTGTGAGGATTGCGTTTCAAATGATTGTTGGAAATTACTATTTGGATAAGTGTTATTTTAACACGTTTTTTAAAAGAACTTTTTTGATTAGTAATATCCCTCTCAAAATGGTTATTGAAATTATAGATCTTGGTATAATTTTTGAATGTAAACTTGCTTTGATATGGTAATATGTAGATAATAGCAATTTACTAGAAAAACTGATGTTTTGGATTCCATCCAATTAGAAGAGCGATGAAATCATCAAACTAGCTAACTAAATATGAGAAATTTTGTATTTTGATTCTTAGATTAATGTGGTCAAGAGCTAGAAAGAATTTATTATAATTTAACGAATTTTTTTTTTAAGAATTTAATTATTACTTTATGTGTAAAACGTTACTATTTCCTACTAATAACGCTTAATCATTTATTTATTATTAAAAATACTAAAAAAAAATTAATTACTTTAAAATCATACTTAATTCTACATTTTTTGTTGTAAATTGAAAAATCAGAACTTTTTTGTGAATCTGAATGAAAGGTGAGATTTTGGGAAATGTTTTTTTTTTCTTTTGAACGTACATATTCGTGTATTTACGAAAAGTCCAAAAATACTGAAATATTAACTTATTCTGATGTGTAATTTATTCTTTAAACTCTGGTTGTGTTGAGTTTATTACACTCACTTTTTTTAAACCTGTATCAAAAAATTTTCAGTGTCCTTGCTATACCTACGTAAATAATAAAATAATCAGATTAATCAATACGAATGGAAAATATTGTTTGCTTTCTGACTCAGAAAGGTTGATTCTATGTTATACTGTTAGTTGCATATTCAAATTTTTATCCTTAGAAAGTGTGAATCTATTTTCGAGTCTTTGAAGCTTGCATTATGAATCTTTTTGTCCGATTTTTCTTCAGTCAAAAATGAGTTAGTTGCAGACATTAATTTGGCCGCTCTTTTAGTTTTAATAAAGTGGAAACTCGCTCCCCGAAATCTAGCGATGCAATAAAAACGTTATAACGAACTCCTTCTCCTTCATCTTGCAGCCCTTTGCATGTACATTATTGAATTGGTGCTTTTTCGGGCGTATGAATTGTTCCGTCTCGGAAATGAGAAATATGGATAAATATTTCACATCCCCCTTGTGTTTCTCATATGAATTCGTAATGCGGCCAGTGTACACCCCGTACGCGCCCCATCAATAATATATGACGCACGTCTGGGCGCCATGGTGGTATCTCGAAGATAAGACCATCGCCCATCCGTCATCCCTTAACAGCGCCCGTAATTGCGCCCCCCCGGAATCCGCCGCGCCGAGGTCACCTCTAATGAGTCGTCGTCGCTTTTTGCGCGCTAATTGCCCGGAACGCCCGGACTCGTCCGCGGAAAGTAAAAGCAGTCCGGGCAAAAAGAGACGTGCGGATTATGGGCGGAGTTTAAAGAATCTCATTCTACTTTTACAATAAGACAAACAAGTAGGTCCGTTTCTATAGCTACCACATTACGCTCCTCCATTGGCCGGATTCTTGTCTTAGTCTCGGTGCACCGGTCGATTAAAGTCTCCGTTCGTGTGATCCGTGTGAGAGTATCATTTTCATTAGGCAAACAGGGCCGGATCAGGTAAACCGGCTTTGTTTGCTCCGGACGGGAGGCCGCCAGGTGTGCACGCACAGGACTTACGCCAACACTCATAACTCACGGAGCCCTTTTCTACCTGGCGGATATATGAATAGCGGGGACGTTTCCGAAACTGTATTGTTTTTACATAAAAACATATTCTGGACCGGTTCGCAGAGACCTGAATGGCTTCAGATGCCTCCTTGTGAAGGAGAAGTCATGTGGAATTTCTACTCTTGAAGTACGAACAGAATTTTGGATAATTAAAGGGTGCTTTCAATTTTCAGGCGAAATGACGGAAATAACTAGGGGATTTGTAACTATTGTGTTTCAAATTAAGCCCTTTTGTGCCGTCTTATTATAACGTAAATCTGCTTTACTAACGTCAGGTTTTCTGCCCCGAAATGAGGTTGTAACCTAAAACTGTCCATTTTCTTTTAACATATGAATAGAATTTTCAGTCCGCAACATTTTTAATGTGTTTGTTGAATGAAAAACTGGATCCCTTTCGTCGGTGCGCTTAAATCAAACCAAGTACCATTTTTCATGCAGATTAGTCAACCAGAAGTTGGCTGATCAAACGGGATATTTATTTAAAGAAGTTTGTCTAAAATTACAAAAAATATTTTTCTTTTCCAGGATTAGTTTGTCCGAAAGTGCAGATCTTCAGGGAATAGTTTTCCTTCACCTGGAGTTTTATTTTAAGATTTTAAACTCGATACCGAGAGAACAGTTCACTTTTAGATTCGCACAGTTTACGACAAACACATAAAAAAGCAAGGTTATAACATGTTCCGTATTTCGGGCCACTTAAAATAATTAATATTTCTGTAACTTTTTATGGACAAGGTGTTAAATTTTTATAGTTTTTGAAGAAGAGTGCTACATAGCTCACATACTGAGTTTTAACGCTCCTAACAGAATTTTTAATTGCAGGGATAGTTGGAATATTCGGGTCATTTTTTAAAGCCGACTTTGAACCTCTCTTGGGGAAAAGTTTGTGTCCAGAGCTAAATAAGCGCTGTAACGAAAAGTCGAAAAACTAAAAGGAGAGAAGACCGAAATTTGATGGAGCTGCAAGCCAAAATTATAAATTCAAAACCAGTTATAATGTAGATTTGTATATGAAACATAGACCAGTGACTATTTTTCCTGTTGTTTGTTAATCTATAGTGAGAGATTTTCTTTTTTTAAGTAAATAAATTTTTTCATACAGTTGTTAATCAGTGGATTTCTTGAAACAAACTTATTTTGACCATCACATCCAACACCAAAAACTAAAAAAATTTGGCGGAACAATGATTAAAATTAGAGTTAGTAGTGTTCATCGAAGTTGAGGCGGCTTTCGAAAGTATGTTGTTTGCCCGACGCGAAGCGAAGGGTTATTATGTAAAGAAACGTGAGTGTAGTGATAAAAATATGCCCAACGGATATTTGCTTCGAATTTTATCGCAATTTAAACTAAATTATCTTTTAGAAAGTAAGTATTTATAAAAAAT